ACTTAATGATCAAATTGGAGGTGCTCATAGGGCTCCTATACACTAACAAGACCGTAACCTGAACCAAGGAAGCGCAAATCAAGACTGCAAGAGCCTCAACAGATTTGTCGAGAGACTGAAAAACGCTGGTCCTCAATACGTCGGTGATAACTCACATGAAGAGCTACACCACGTCCTTGATGACCAATGGAGTGATTAGCGCGGAACAGTGCGTAGCCAGGCAGATATACTTCGCCATCTGTGGTTTCCTCAAACAGCTACGTTTCAGTGAAAGCAAGTATATCTGCACGAGATTTGTCTACGAGCAGAGCCACCTCGCGCATCTTGTTCCTCAGGCTACGCACGTTACTAAGTACTACTTGGAGGACTTCGGTACGACAAGCCCCGGGTCGCGCGCAAGTGAGGTAGGTTCTGGCAAGGCGGAAAAGGACCGCCGGCTGACCACCTGAAAACCCACCAATCGGAGACTTTGCTCGCCAGCTGCACTCCGGGCTTTTAGGTCTCTGATGGCTTCCATTAACTCTAACCTATCCGCTAACGGAAGGTCTGATTGCACACTAATGTTGCTAGCTTTGAGCTTGAAGGCAAATAGTAGTAAGGTACTGCGCTCTTCTGGGTTGGTGAGGACCACCCTAAGCAGACGGGGTCGAGGATTTGGTTGACCAACCGGACCGTTCCCCAACCTGATGAGTTTCTTGACAGTAACGCCAGGAAAACCTGGTGGTAAAAGCCTGGTCACGCATACTTTAAGCCAACCAAGATCATCAAGCATGCGCTCGGTGGGAAGAGCGGCAGTGGATTCAGTGACGTTTCTGAAAATCACCCTGCTATCTGTAAGAATCGCCCTGACGAGGTGTATTTACTCCACATGCTCTACCATCCACGCCACATGGTTGTTTGACAGGAATCGGTGGGACCGAAGGCGACGGCACCTCATGTTTCAATGAAGGAATTGCAACACCAGGTGGTGTTTCCAGCTCAGACGCTTGTTTCTTGAACATTTTAGCAACTCCCGGTTTTGAGGCGTAGGGTTTGCGCGCTTTCCTTGCCCTCTTACGCTTATTCTTTAATGGCCCAGGAGCCCGTGACTCGCCTTCTATTTGGGGCGGGTCAACACTGCCGTCCAAGGCATCTGTCAGTTATATCCATGTGAACTGGAGCGTCCGGTAGGATGAACGCCTCGTCAACGGATGGACTGTCAGCAGAAGCACAGTCCGTTACAGCGTCCACATTCGCAATATTCAGGGATTTCATAATCAAATCCACTTTAGAGTTGAGCGAGGCAAGCTCGGTTAACGCCTTCTCAACAACTGTGAATCTGAAGGCCAGTGCTTTGAATTCAGCACAGGTGAGAGCCGTGAGCTTCGGTTTCTGAGCGCAACAATCAGCACATCTAAACAGGATGATAGCATATTGTGCTGATCCGCTCGGAGACCGGTACAACTTTTGTGATATCAGGGCGAGCAAATAGTACACTGCATACAACCAGATGAATCCGTAACTAGCCTTGAACAGGCAGAATTTCTGCAAGTTGCATTTGACTCATCAAAGGAGGACATAAGGGGTTCATCCGCCTCGGTTTTTAGCGAGACGACTACGCTTAAGTGGAAAACAGAGCAGAATTTAAAAACACGTATACAACCGTAAAAGGAGCACAAGAAGAAGGCAAAATAGCATGTAAAATGGGAGTAAAAAGGAAACAATCACAAAATTACCAGTAAGCGTCAGGAAGGCGCTTTGGCCAGTACCACTAAGCGATCCAAGATATTTTGTTTCAAGTGTTTATCAAACGCTGTTTTCCAGGTTATTTCAGCTAAGAAGCTCGATCAGCATGGGGAGCAGCGGGGCAAAACTGTCTATACCAGCGTTATTGCGAGCAGACGGGACCCGTGCGCAAACTGACTATGACAAGGCTTGTATACTTAGTGATCAGTATGCTGGGGTCTTTGCTCAGGAGACCTCTTTACCACAGGTTGAATTGGTTTCAAGAGTTCCATAGGATTCTTGCTTAGCTGAAATTAGCATAACGGAGACTCAGGTCTCCGAGCTACTGCAAGGCATTAATCCCTCTAAAGATTCTGGTCCTGATTCAATTCATCTGAAAGCATGAATTGGCCACTGAGCTGAGTGGTCCTCTCACATGCGTGTTTTCAATATCGCTGGACAGCTGTATCCTACCTTCAGAATGGAATGAGATAATCATCTGTCCGATTTTTAAGAGCGCTGACAGGGCTCTACCCGCGAACTACCGGCCTGTCAGTTTGACACGCGTAGTAGTCAAGTTGTTTGAAAAGCTGATAAGGGATTCAGTGGAGAACCACCTGAATAGATTCAACCTTCTGTGTTGCGTAACATGGATTCCGCAATTTTCATGTCAGACTAATCTACTTGTAGCACATGAAATCTGGGCCGAAGCGGTAGACAGTGGCCACGCTGTAAACGTACTATTCGTGGATTTTTCCAAAGCTCTTGACACTTCCACATCTTCGGCTCTCACTAAAGTTGACATCTTACGGGATATCTGGTCGCGCACTTCAATGGGTGTCTGCCTTCCTTGAGGGGAGGGAACAGTGCGTACGGGTGCGGCGCACAAGTAGGGCGTCTGAGCTTTTCAGAAGCTCATCTGGGTGGTAATTATGGACTTAACTCCGAACGGACGGACAACGGCGAGCGTCTGCTGCAACTGTGTGTGGAGCACTAGTTGTTTCTTAGTAGCACTGCTTTTAGACACAGTGGGCGCCGAAGTGCCACTTGGCGTCCACCTGTAGCTGGCCAGCGATGGACCCAAATTGACCACATTGCCATAAGTTACAGGTAGCGCGGTTCCATTCTGGATTGCCGCTCGTACTGGAGTACCAGTGTCGATTCTGATCATGCATTGGTACACTGTCGTTTTCCCATGAACTTTACCGGAAGGCGCACAAAGCACCCCCTAGGATTAGCAACGGAGAAATTGTCCCAGCCCTTGGTCAGGCAAGCCTACCAAGAAGCACTACATACCGAACTCTCGCTGTCTTGTCCTAATGACACTGAACATCAGTGGAATAGGATCTCGGCCGCCATGCACGACGCAGGAGCACCTGATTGTGGCACCATCAGTCGTCACCGCACCAGTCACTGGATATCCGAGACGTCGGTGAAGCTGTTGGAATCTAGAAGACACCTCCGGCTGCTTCTGAACACAATGTGACCAGAAGGGCTATTAGGCGTGAACTAAAGAAGAGCCTACGTGCTGACAAGGAAGCCTGGTGGACCAGTCGGGCTCAAGAAATGGAGGAGGTGGGGGCAGTAGGCAATTACCGAAAGCTCTTCCAGCTAATCCGCACCACTGGTCCCAGAAAACTAGGCGTCAGTGAGACAATCAGAGACAGCGCGGGTGCACTGATACACAATAAGGAGCGGCGTATGTTTCGTTGGGCTGAACACCTTCAAGATCAGTTCAGCTGACCCCCTGCTCCTGGACCTCTTCCTACTCAGGTGATGCAGGACGTGCCATGGACGGTTAGTTTAGAGCCTCCGTCGGAGGCCGAGGTCCGAAACGCGATCACAGCCCTCAATCGTTTTCGTGCCGCTGGCCCGGATTCCCTCCCACCTGCACTGTTTAAGGATGGAGGTGAGGTCCTCTGCAGGGCACTGACCTCCCTATTCGAACGTATCTGGAACGAAGTGTGCCGGCTAATTGGAGCGAATCGATTATAGTGGCAATATACAAGAAGGGCAGTCGCACAGACTGTGCGAACCACAGGGGTATTAGTCTAACGCCAGTTGTGACAAAATTACTGGCCTCGATTATCGTGTAGTGCAACTGAAAACATGCTCTTTCAGTATCTTATAACATTGGATTTTATGGTTGTTTTAACCTTCGAAACGTCCATTTGTTTAACTGACTGCACATCCATGGACAAACCGTTTTGGTGAGTTCCACGCCGCACGTTCCTCGCTCTCTCTCTGATTCGCTTCCTATTTTTGTAGCCTGTACAATATACGTTGGGTTCAGTTGCCTCCGACTTCTATACTGTCGTATTTGACACGTCTTACGTGTCATTGCTTACCGACTAGTATCCCAGGCTCCGCCCAACAATTGGTGACCTCGACGTGACCTGTCTACCGCGTCGGTCGGTTGCCTGAGGTTGCGGCGGGATAGGTTGCGGGTCAAGGGGTACGGAGGGATCCGGGTTATCCAGTGCTCGGGAAGTCACCACAGGTGCGGGTGCTTGTGCGAGAGCATCAGGATGGGCTGCAAGTGGCTCGTCAAAGAAAGCCACTTTAAGGCGATCGATGGACACCGTTGTTCGATGACCATTCTGGTCTATAGTAAAATGTTTCGGAGTCCGTTGTAGAACTCTGAAAGGGCCAGTGTAGGGAGGCTGGAGAGGGCGCCGCACTGCGTCGGTGCGGAGGAAGACGTGAGTGCAGGTAGAAAGTCCGCTGTGCATTTGTACATCTCTAGTCTGTTCACGGGGCGGGGTCGGGCGTAGTGAACGCATGCGCTGAGCTAGGGAGGACGCAAAGTTAGGCAGAGGCATACTCGACGATGCGGGAGGTGAAACGAATTCTCCTGGTAACTTGAGCGTCGTTCCGTAAACCAGCTCTGCTGGTGCACATTGCAAGTCAGCTTTGATGCTGCTGCGAATGCCTAAGAGAACGAGCGAAATGTTTTCGCTCCAGCTAGGGTCGGAGGAGGCGCAGAGCGAGGCTTTAAGCTGTCTATGAAAACGTTCAACTAACCCGTTGGCTGCTGGGTGATACGCTGTGGTATGGATGCGGCGACAACCTAAGAAGTTGCAGAACGTATCGAATTGTGAAGATTCGAAAGGCGTTCCGCGGTCAGTTGTGATGGTGGATGGGCATCCGTAGTGCGAGACCCATCGGTCCAAGAAGGCCCGGATAACAGTCTCAGCTGTGCAGTCTGTTACGGGGATAGCTTCTGGCCATCTGGTGAAGCGGTCGACACATGTAAGAATGTATACAAATCCGCGTGACGGAGGCAAGGGACCTACCGAGAACCGAGAATCCGGAGCAGGAAATGAACCAAGAGGACTGCGGGTGTGACGATGTACTTTGGAGCGCTGGCATTGAAGGCAGGCGCGAGCCCAGGTACGAACATCTTTGTTTACGCGTGGCCAAACGAAACGTTCGGTGACCAGTTTCAAAGATGCACGGATACCGGGATGTGACAGTGAGTGAAGTGCGTCAAAGACTGTGCGTCTGAAGGAGACGGGCACGAGAGGTCTAGGACAACCTGTGGACGTGTCACAGAGGATGGTTCCTTCCGTGGTTTGGAGAGGAACAGGTTGCACATGCAGCGAAGTGGACTGCAGAGTGCGTTGTATATCCTCGTCTTGAGCCTGAGCCGATGCCATTGCGGCAAGGTCGACGGTAGGCAAAGACTGGAGAGTGAGGTTGACGCGTGAGAGAGCGTCGGCGACGGGATTGTCGACACCTGAGACATGACGTATGTCAGCAGTGAACTGCGTGACAAAGTCTAGGTGTCTTGTTTCCCGTGGTGAGTATTTGTCGCTAGCAGAGTTGAAGGCAAAGATAAGGGGCTTGTGGTCAGTGTAGACCGTGAAAGCGCGGCCTTCAAGTGTGTGCCGGAAGTGACGTATCGCTAGGTAAATGGCCAGCAGTTCTCTGCCAAACGTGCTGTAGCGGGATTCCGCTGGCTGCAGGCGTTTGGAGAAGAACCCAAGGGGTTGCCATTGCCCACCAACATGTTGTTGGAGGACGGCTCCTACCGCGACGTCTGATGCATCAGTTGTAATAGAAATAGCAAACGCTTACAAAATCGGAAAAACGGACCGGACGTTTGACCTGTCTACCGCGTCGGTCGGTTGCCTGGGGTTGCGGCGGGATAGGTTGCGGGTCAAGGGGTACGGAGGGATCCGGGTTATCCAGTGCTCGGGAAGTCACCACAGGTGCGGGTGCTTGTGAGAGAGCATCAGGATGAGCTGCAAGTGGCTTTCTTTGACGAGCCACTTGCAGCTCATCCTGATGCTCTCTCACAAGCACCCGCACCTGTGGTGACTTCCCGAGCACTGGATAACCCGGATCCCTCCGTACCCCTTGACCCGCAACCTATCCCGCCGCAACCCCAGGCAACCGACCGACGCGGTAGACAGGTCAAACGTCCGGTCCGTTTTTCCGATTTTGTAAGCGTTTGCTATTTCTATTAACACGCGTTTTTCGTCTTTAATGGTTATCCTGCGTCTCACCCACAAACGTTTTGCAAAATCGACAAAAAGAAACCCAAAACATTTTGAAAAACCTAAAAAGCGTATTTGCTTTTATCATACATGCCATGTCCCCTCTCCGGCGTCAAGCCACTTCCCAGACCATGCCAACCCCCTCTGAGTTCTATCTTACAGAAACTCAACCGCCGGAACTGCCCAGGCAACCCTCGAGTGACGCGCCAACCGAATCAACACAACCCTGGAGTGACTCGCCAGCCGTCCCACAGCCCCCATCCTCACCCCATTCCCCGCCCTCGATCGCAGACACCCACGAACGGATTGGTCCCTAAACGCCGCCTAGGCATTGCCGACGAGGACGCCGGATTTCTTCGTGGGACGAGGACCGTGGACTAAAGTGCGGTGGGGGGAGTGACACCTCCCAAGCGCACCGTCGGGTCTGAAGCAATGGGAAGGTCCTGTCGGCCTTTTTTCTGGAATAGCCAGTTTTTTTGCAGTCCGACCAGCCCGCCCCGACGGCCCACCGATGATGCACTCTGGTCCACACGATCGTCATAAATAAAACTAACAAAAGCCTGGACCCAGCGAAATCTGCTACACCCCACTTTGGAAGCTATTCTCATGCCCCTGCAAACATTTGCATCCACCCTCACCTTCCGTTCCCCCCACTAACAGCTCCATCGAAGGCTTCCATCTTTCAGCCTTCTAGGGGGAGGCCCTTGTAGTGCAACTGAAAACATGCTCTTTCAGTATCTTATAACATTGGATTTTATGGTTGTTTTAACCTTCGAAACGTCCATTTGTTTAACTGACTGCACATCCATGGACAAACCGTTTTGGTGAGTTCCACGCCGCACGTTCCTCGCTCTCTCTCTGATTCGCTTCCTATTTTTGTAGCCTGTACAATATACGTTGGGTTCAGTTGCCTCCGACTTCTATACTGTCGTATTTGACACGTCTTACGTGTCATTGCTTACCGACTAGTATCCCAGACTCCGCCTAACAATCGTTCGTCGCCTCACTGCAAAACGGGAATCTCGGATTAGTGAAGAGCAGGCCGGTTTCAGCCCAGGACGTGGCTGTATAGACCATATATTCACTTTGCGGCAGGTGCTAAAGCAGCGCCACGCACACCGCAGACAGACAACAGCTGTGTTCCTCGATTTCAAGAGTGCGTTCGATTCAGTCGATCGATCGATTCTGTTCGAACTGCTTGCGCGAAAAGGTATTCCCATGAAATATGTGAACATCCTTCGTGCTCTGTACTCGAACACTACAGGCCGCGTCAGGATCTATGGTGTCCTATCGGATAGCTTTTAGACTACAAGTGGCGTTCGTCAGGGTTGTCCGATTTCCCCGTTTTTGTTCAATTTCGTCGTGGATTCTATCATGGAGTGTTCCCTTGCGGAATCCAAAGATGTAGGTGTTGAAGTGCTGCCTGGTGAAAGGTTAGTTGACCTAGATTATGCGGACGATATCGTCTTGCTTTTCTAAGATTTTGCGGCGGCACAATCAACCCTGAATAGCCTGTCCAGAGTGGTTCCATTATTTGGTATGCACTTCGCACCTTCAAAGTGCAAAGTGTTGCTGCAGGACCACCAGCCACTTGATGACCCCTTGACGCTTGCTAACGAGGCACTCGAGGTGGTTGATAATTTCACTTATCTTGGCAGCTGCATCAGCAATGATGGGCGCATATAAACTGACGTGAGCTCACGCATCGCAAATGCCAGAGCTGCCTTCTTGAACCTTCGTCATCTTTGGCGACAGAAGGGAGTTTCCCTCCGTCTGAAAGGCCGGGTATACAAGGCCACAGTGAGGGCCGTTCTGCTCTGAGGCGCCTTCAAGTTTTTGATCATCGTTGTTTGCGAAGCATTGCTGGTGTCGGATGGCATCAGCGTATCCCCAACGATGATGTGCGTAGGCGAGTACTAGGTAGTGATAATTATGCTAGCTCCCTAGAACAACAGATAGCACTGAATAAGTTGCGTTGGCTCGGGCACGTGCTACGCATGCCTGGTCACCGCTTACCTAGGAGAGCCTTGTTCAGTCTCCCTGGTGTAGGATGGCGCAAGGCTCGAGGTGGACAGAAGTTGACTTGGTAGCGGGAAATGAAGTCACTGACAACCAAACTGGGTGCCGTTGGTCCGTCTCGCCTTCCGGGTTGGAGTCCACGTGACTCACCTTGTGCTTGGCTCGAGACTTTGCATGACATGGCAACCGACACCAGTGGCGCGTCTGCTGCCGTCTTCTAATCGGATTGCCTGGTTAAAGTATGTTTGGTGCTGAGTTATCTGCGAGGTAATGGCTGATTATGACGCGTGTCAGTAAAAGCCGCAAGGAAACTGTCTCGCCGATGCCGCCTTATTTTTGCACGATAGCCAGCTGTTTGTGACGGTATGTTGTCTACGCAAGGTGTAGGCGCCTTGACCCTGAATGTTTGCTTAGGGCATTAAGGTTTTCAAGTAAGTCCCTCTTTCTCTCTCCCATTATTTATTTCATAGGTCCTCATGGTTGTATGGCAGCGAAGCATCAGTTCAAATGGCTGATGTACTGCTGTTGATGATGATGATGATGGCGGTAAGACGTAGCCTTTCGCTCAGGCAAGCTGTCCTTAGTGGCGTCCCGTCGGGTTCGGTATTGGAGCCATTGTTGTTCGCGATCTATGTAAATGACTTGCCGGGAGAGCTAGGGTTGTCATCAGTAATGTTTGCTGACGACTTTAAGCTCTGGAATATTGTAGATATCCCGGGGAGTCCTGAGGCAATTCAGCATACCTTGGATAGGCTCTGGGAATGGTCTACCTTATGATTGATGCCCATAAATAGAGCCAAGTGCTCTGTTCTCCGAATCGGAGGTGCAAATCCTCCCAGCCGATATGTTGTCGGCGGTGGTGAACTCCCTGTTGCCACTCAGCAGGTTGATTTAGGAGTCGTACACGCATCAGCATTTCATTCTGGAGACAACTGGAAGAAGGCTGCTTGTCGAGGGTTTCGTATGATGTGGTTTATCCGCCGCTCTTTCGGAATCCTAACCGCCAATTTGTTTGTGAAGCTATTCTCGGCATTCGTCCGACCCCATCTGGAATATTGTATTCAGGCTTGTCCACCATGTCTTAACCGAGACAAAATGGACTTGGAGAGGGTGCTACGAGTGGGTAATTGGTTAGTACATGGTCTACAGGGACAGACGTATCTTGAACGTTTGCTCAGTCTGGGGATGTACTCGATGCACTACCGAAGGATAAGAGGGGAGCTGATTCTCACTTATCGTATTCTGACGGGTAAGATTGGCCCGGACTTGTCAGGGTTTTTTAGTCCCGCTACGTTAACTAATCTCCGCTCACCCACTGAAACTGTATAAACCACGGTCTGATAGGATTAGGACGGAAACTCGTCTGACGCGCGGAGTTATAGATAGCTGGAATTCGCTTCCAGATGACGTGGTTAGGGAACCTACGGTTAAGGGTCTTGCGCGCCAGCTCGATGCTCTTGGGTGGCAACAGCAAACTTTTCCTTTTTCCTAGCTGACTCGCCTTTACTTTGCAGTTCTATTTTTAATGACTCAAATATCTTGGTATTCCACTTGCTTAGCTCCTTCCACTTTCTCTTTTGCCTTCTGAGTTTACTTTTTTTTTACTTCACGTAACCGGCCAAGCAGGGACTGCTAGGGCAGGATACATAGGCATTAATTGGTTGGACAGGGTGTGATGCGGTCTTTGATTAGGTCCATAAGTATTTCAAAGTCCACCAACTCCTGGTTCAACGACTAACCGAAAAAGGAACACTTACCGGATAATCCTATCGTTCCAGTCCCGCTGGAACTTGAACTAGAGTGGCTAGTTTTTGCAAGGAAAACTTGGCCTGGAGGGGCTTTGTGTTCCGGTACGCCAGACTAAATGATTATCAAGTTCCAGTTCAAGTGGGACTGGAACGATAGGATGAATTCCGTAAGTGTTCCTTCTTCAGCGCGTCGTCGATCCAGGAGTTGATAGGGGTGCTCCGAGTTCTTGATGGGTCTAAAACGAAAACACCCGAAAAACACCCTGGTCCACCAAGTTAATGCCCACGTTCCTTACATCAGATGTCCCAGCTATGTCAGTTACGTGAAGTAAGTAAGAGAGGAATAAAAAGCGAAGGTAAGAGAGTAGGGGAAATCAGTTAAAAGAAGAAAATAATACCAATGGTGAGGAAAAGTAAAGAAAATAAAACCGAAGTAGAAGATG